CAAACAACCTGAGTTTTCTCTTTCTTTGGCTTTTGTTCATGTACTACTTCATGTAAATGTAAACAGGCAGTCATTTTCATACTAGCAGCCTCTTAGGGCCGAGTGTAAGGCCTGTGAATGTTAAGTTTTTCTTAAAGGGTATATTGTTCATTGGTGTATTGTTGTAGGTATCGTCACTTACTCTTTTTATCTCTTGGGATATTCTTAACTATAATACTAGATACTTGAGATCCTACTTAAGTGATTTGAGTATTCAAGGCAAGGACCATGTGCAGTGCATAAAATGAGTGCTCAGTAGATACTTGTTGGAGACTCACAGCTGATTATTTTAGTTCTCCTTACTCAGGGTACATTGTTGAATATTATAAACCATTGCTTCCTATGCTTAAGTTATTTACCTACAACCGTCATAAACTTAGTCATAACGGTTTTTTTACCACACACTTTTGTTATAATGTTAGTCATTCTTTATTTACCTCAATTTTTATTTACTTAGTATTTTAAGTCACTTGCTTTTAACATAAAATCATTTAATAGGAAACATACCACCATTGTAAAAGGTTGACTTGCTGCAAATAGATACTGGTTGATATCCCTTATCTCAAACCCTACCATGTTTCTCAGAATTCAGATTGTTTATGTATTTTAAGAATGTATATATGTATATGCGTGTGTATGTATGTGTGTATATATGTATTACATAACATTCCTATTGATATCTGAGGTAGAACCTCCCGTTAATCAGATCTATGAATGTTTTTTTTTTCCAGTGAAATTGCTGCATATGCATATTAAGTGGAATAGAGACTATAAATAGCCTGTGTCAGCTCAGGTGCAGTGTTACTGCCAGATAAGTTCAGGTCAGGTCAGTTTTTGTCTCCAAAGGAGTTAGAAAAGTTCACAGTGGGGATAAAGTAAGAAAGTCATTTTAAATTTGTGCTAGATGTCACTTTGCTAAACCTGAGGCCTCATTTTTTGTTGTAAAATGAAATTAGTGAGGATTAAGAGGCGGTAAGGACCTATTAGCTCCAAATTGAGGCTTTCCTTCTTCATTTAACCCTTGTACCATTAGGGTTTGTTGGACCTTATTCATTTTTTTGCATTTTTTGAGCAGTTTTAGCTGTAAAGATTGATATATTATGGCATTGATATTTTATGAATTTTATTCTTTCTTAGAAGTCTTTAAATAAAATGAAGAAAAACTACTTTGAAACAACTCAATAAAATTTATTATTTTGCAGTTATCCACCTAGGCCCATTGGGCCCTTTAAAGATCTATGATAGGTATACTATGATTTCTTAGTGATTTGATAATTCTAATATGGTAAGACAATCTGTTGTCTGATCATTTTAGGAATTATTTCAGTATTATTATCAGCTATTCCTAATTGTGGCTATAAGAAAACAAAAGTGAAGAAGTATGTAGTAGTGCATGATTTTTCAAGAAAAGCTATGTGAGAAATCTGGGCACACATCTTTGTAATTTTTTTTTTTTTTTTTTTTTGGTGGGACTGGGGTTTGAACTCAGAGCTTCCTGCCTCTAACTGCTTGAGCCACACTTCCAGTCCATTTTTCTCTGATTATTTTGGAGGTGGGGTCTTCAGAACTATTTGCCCAGCCTGACCTCAAACCTTAATCCTCCTGATCTCAGCCTCCCAAATAGCTAGGATTATGGGCATAAGCCATCATGCTCAGCTGTAGTATGTTTTTTAAGCTTTTTCTTGAATGCAGTTGGTAATTCAGATTTTACTTTTTAATTTTCTGCCCACAATGGTAAAGGGAAGAAAATTACCAATGTGTTAAAACAAGTTTGGACAAAGCAGAAAATCAGTGTAGTGTATGTACTGTAGACCGCCTAGTCTATAGAACTATAATGCAGCCTACCTGTGAAAATTTTCATTTTCTTGTAATAGCATTAACAAAATACAGGTGAAATTAATTTTAATAATATATTCTATGTAGCCCAGCATATCTAAATGTCGTTTTATCATATAATATAAAATTATTCAGGTATTTTCTTTTTTTCACACTAAATCTTAGAAATCTTTTGTGGATTTTTCACCTTACAACATATCTCAATTCAGATCTGCCACATTTCAAGTACTCACTAACTACATGTGGCTTCTAGTTATCAAATTAGACAACACAGCTCTAGAATTTAGTCATGGTTGATTTTATAAGAAAAAATTTCAGTCTGAATTTTTGGATAATATTCTGGATGTATTTTCTGAAACTCAGGAATTGATGACAAAATAGGTTTTTAGAGAGAAAAAGGAAAATACATGTGTTATTCTCATCTACTTAGTCATTCAACAGGAGGGACTTCATTGCATAATAGTTTATAATAACTTCAAGTACTTCTTTTCCTTTTTCAGTGGGGTAGTACTTGGCTTTGAACTTGAGGTCTCATACTTGGTAGGCAGGTCTATTTGAGCCCACCCACCCCCCCAAACTTCCCAGCCCTTTACTTTAGTTATTTTTCAAATTTTGAATTAGGGTCTCACATTTTGGTCTGGGACTGGCTTTGAACTGTGATTCCCTCCACCTCTGCCACCTGCATAGGTGGGATTACAGGGATCTGCTACCATGCCCAGACCTTGTTCCTTCATTTTCTGTGATATTTGTGCACCAACATGTGTACAGTTCATAAGGGAGGGGGTAAATACTAAAGGTAGGTGTGGGTATATAAATAGTGAGAAGGAACAGATGATGTTCAAGTAAAAAATAGCCACTGGATTGATCACTTGAATTTGTATTTATAAAGCTAAAATGATAGTGCAAAGGAAATGGCAGTACTGTCTTCAACAAAATTCTGTGCTGTCAAAAGTTTTTGAAAACAATTGCACTCTGATTGTACAAATCTAAGAAAAAGAACCAGAAGTGTTGATGATACAGAACCTATTGGAAGATACAACTTCAATTTGAAAATCAATGTGTTCTAAGTTTATGCATGACAGCTGATGGTCAGGTAGTTGCATTCAAAGGACATTTTCCACACCAGGTATGGTGATGCATGCATGCAATTCTAGCTACTCATGAGGTGAAGGCAAGAGGACTGAGAGTTCAAAGCCAGCCCGAGCAAAGTTAACAGGATCCTATCTCAAAAACAAAATACAAAACAAAAGAGCTAGGGTCATAGTTCAAGTAGTAGAGTTCTTGTCTAGCATGTTCAATTCCCAGTTCTGAAAAAAAAAATAGAAAGAGTAAAAGAAAAAAAGGGCCACTGCCCATTTCAGGTATGTTCATGTTCAAAACCTGAAAAATACGGGTTTGCTATGCTCATTTGTCTATTTTTTTAATTTCTAGAAAATTATTTTATATTATGACATTCTGCTTAAATGTTTTTTAAAATAGTTGGTGTGTGTGTGTGTGTGTGTGTGTGTGTGTGCGTGCTGGTGGAGACTGAACCCAGAGATAAAATAACTTTTCTTGGTATACTGAGAAGATATACAAGATGCTGGGCACCAGTGGCTACTCAGGAGGCAGAAATCAGGAGGATCTTGGTTGGAAGCCAACCTGGGCAAATAGTTCCAGAGACCCTATCTCGAAAATACCCAATACAAAACAGGGCTGGTGGAGTGGCTCAAGTAGTAGAGAGCCTGCCTAGTAAGTGTGAGGCCCTGAGTTCAATCTTGTACTGCCCTCCAAACAAAAGAAGATATGCAAGAAAATGGAAAAGAAAGTAATTTTCCATTATGATTCAGTGTTAGTATTTCACTGAATACCGCTTTTCATACTGCCCAAAATGATCTCAAGTATGTCCCAATCTTAGGAAACTCTTGTAAGTGATTATTGTGGAAGAAAAATGTTTAGACAAAGGACTGGGGGCATGGCTCCAGTGGTAGAGCCTGCCTGGCAAGTGCAAGGCCCTTAGTTTAAACCCCAGTACTACTTCCACCCTCCAAAAAATTTAGAACTAAAGTTAATGTGACGTACTCAACATGTGTGTCAAATTCTGTTCCTTCTAAATTATGATAAAAGGATAATTAAGATATATAAATCCATTAACAGGAGAGGAATCAGTAGCAACAATTTATTGAAGCTGGTTGAGATAACTCAGTTAGATCGCAGAGGCAAAACTAAGCTGGCAGTGGGAAAATCACTGGGTGCCTCTGAAACCAAAGGTGAAGGGTTAGGCACCAAAATAAGGAGGTTTGGGTGAGAGTTTGAAAACTGTTAGATCCCTAGGTCTTCTGCTGCTGTACTTGCTCCTCCTCTGTTCCAGGCTGATGTTTATCCTCTGGAGAGACCAGGGATGGGGATGGATTGGGAGTGTTCTGACACAGTTGTGGGGACTGTACATCAATGTAGGGTTCTAGAAAGCTTTTCTCTGGGAACACTAAGCAATCCAGGGAAAATCCTGAAGTGACTGAGTTAGGAGTTCACCCCAGAATACATGCAGATCACCTTCAGTGAAGCCTGTGGTCCATGATCCCCTGCCGTACTCTCAGCTTTTGGTTGGCTCTCTGGGAGATCCCACTTGCTGTCATGAGCCAAGGACTGCCAGATTTCTGAGGAAAGTCTCTAATGCAGAAAACAGACCCAAAGAAGCAATGGAAAACAGGCAGCTCAGAAGCAACTGATCTTGTGCTGCCTACTCTTGCTCACAGGTGCCTATCATCTAGAATTGAAAAGGAAGATAACTAGTTTAGTAAATAGCTTATTTATGTAAGTTTAAGTTTTTGGTCTTTTTTTGCTTAGATCCACAATAAAGGTCCTTTTCCTGTCACCCACCATGAGCAGAGAATCAAATACTGGTGTTTCACTTCCCGGTTTTACATTCTCAAGGGTGTTGAATAGGAGCTCCTCTGTAGAGGGTAGGTCTGGACATTTGCTGGGCTCCAGGAACTGCTGAATTGTTGTGCCTTCATTGTTTTCCAAACTTTTGTGCCTGTGTGTGTGTGTGTATATCTATGTATCTCAAAATCTCATTAATTGTTGGACTGAGTCGATACTATCAATAATCTGAACTAGTGTGTTTTCTCGCTTTCTTTCTGTAGGCAGTGGACAAGTACTTCAAGCTTCCCCATGCTTCCAGTAAACCACCCCGGATTTCAGGAAACCTTGTGGACACTTCTTATAAAACATTAAGATTTGCATTCAGAGCATCACTGAAAACTGCCATCTATCGAATAACATCTACATTTGGTGAACATCTGAAGTAAGTTTACCTGTTTTGATTCATGGTAGCAGTCCGCTTTCAGGAGGTCTCTGAGAAATATGTCAGTGTGAGAATTTTAAAGGCTCACATGTTGAAAAGTGCTCTTCTCGGACCTTGATGATTCCCATTGTGAATTAACAGTTTGGATTTTTTTTTTCTTTTTCTTTTTTGGTGTGACTAGGGTTTGAACTCAGGGTTCATGTATGCAAAACAGGTGCTCTACCACTTGAGCTATACCTCCAGCCCATTTTGCCCTGGTTATTTTGGAGATTGGAGTTATGACAACTCTTTGTCTGGGCTGGCCTCGAATGATCCTCCCAGTCTCAGCCTCCCAAGTAGCTAGGATTACAGTTGTGAGCCACCAGTGCCCAGTTGGATTAGACTTTCTATTTAAAATTTTTGCTTATCACAAGCTGTGAGAATTTCTTTCAAATGGAGAAGAGAGAGGATAGAAAGTTATAAAAATAGCAAATGTCATTATATATATTAATTACCAAAAGGCAGTTAAAAAAATTTTTGTTCTCAGGGGAGAAAAAAGGCAAAAACCAAACCAAAACAAAAACCTAAATACCTTTCCAGAAAAACATGTTAAAAATAATTCTTTTGTTACATTTTGGTCAGAAAACTAAGACTTGGGTGAGCAGAGTATTCCATAAATGAGGCTGTGGTGCTTTGTGAATCATTCTGGAAAAACACTGACAGATCACACCTTGAGAAACTGAACCACAGAGAAACCCACAAAGGCCAGACCTGTTTATATTAGTTTCATTGATGTTTACTGCTTTGCTCTCACAAAATGATCTAGTTAGACAGGCTGAGGGATGCTAATTTCTTAACTAAACTGTGTTTATCATAATTATAAATGAGCTGTAGAAGGGATAAGAGATTGCTCTGCTTTTTTCTGTATGCAATCAGAAAATAGTTCAGGACTTCCTTATACCATCTGCTTTTAGAAGCAAGGAGTATATGTATTTTCCTTTTCCTTCCACAATACTAGAGAGTAGCAAGCACTTATGGGCACTTTGGTTCTGTGTGGAAATGCAAAAGAGCTGCAGATAATCCTCTGTCATAAGACATTTATTCACTTGTTTAAAATCAAACAAAATGCCATTTAACTTTGAACCTGTGCTGTTTAACATGCTGGCTGTGGATTGAATTTTCATTTATATTTCTCAAAGATCTTGTGAGGTACAGAGATTATCCTAGTTGTACAGATGTGGAAAATGAAGTGCAGAGAAGTTAAACCTTGCCTGATAGCATAGTCTAGAGCATGTTCAAACATGAACCTCAAATCAGGTCTTGATTTTAAAAATATGCCTTCTTTCCATCTACAATATTATCGTGTGGCATATGCTTCGAATACATTCATTGATGAGTTTGGAGAATGAGATAGATGTAATATATATTTGACATATATTGGTAATAGAGCAAATGAGGGGAAAAGGGTAAAATAGGGATTTATTAGATAAGAAAGGGAGATTAGACGACATTAATAATTATTGATGGGCTGGTGTGGTAGCTCATGCCTGTAATCCCAGCTATTTGGAAGGCAGAGATCAGGAGACTCATCTTTCCAGGCTAGGGAAAAAAGAGACCTGGGCAGAAAGTTATGGATACCTTATCTCAACCAATAAAGCTGGCCATGGTGGTACATATCTGTTACACAGAAGGTATAAATGGTAGGATCTTGGTCATACAGCATGGGGAAAATGCAAGACCCTATGTGAAGAATAACTAAAGCAATGAGGTCTGGGTGTGTGACTCAAGTGGTAGAGCACCTGCCTGGCAAGCACAAGGCCCTCAGCCCACCTAGCTGCTTCTTAGAGGGCATCTTTGTACAGTGAAATACTTGAAATGATTCTATTAGAGGCAGCTGTCTGGTGTTAGAAAGCAGAGATGTATAAAAGGTATTTTAGGATGATTTGCACCAAATTTTTTGTTTGTTTGTTTTATGTTTTGTTTTAGCAGAACTGGTGCTTGAACTCAGGGCCTTCACCTTGAGTCACTCCATCAGCCCTATTTTTGTGAAGGGTTTTTCAAGATAAGTCTTGCAGAACTGTTTGCCCGGGCTGGCTTCAAACTGTGATCCTCCTTATCTCTGCCTCCTGAGTAGCTAGGATTACAGTCATGAGCCACTAGTGCCTGGCTATAGCAAAATTATTAAAAGAAGACTTTTGGTCTTTAATTAACTAGAATTTTATTATTCAATAATGATATATTACTATTCATGACCACCCAGGAATACATGGGTACCCTGCCAGGCGTAGTGGTCCACACCTGTAATCCCAGTTACTTGTGAGGCAGAGATTGGGAAGATCTCTGGTGGTTGAAGCTAGCCCCGGGTGAAAAGTTTAGTCAGACCCCATCTCAATGTATATATAAGCCAAGGACAGTGTTTCATAACTGTAATCTCAGCTACTCAGAAGGCATAGGTAGGAAGATTGCAGTCCCAGGCCGGCCCAGGAGAAAAGTGAAAACCTATCTGAAAAATAACTAAAGCATAAAGGACTGGAGGCATGGCTCAAATGGTAGAAAGGCCCAGAGTTCAAATGCTAGTACCAAAACAAACAAACAAACAAACAAAAAACCCTCTCGCCCAAAGTAAACTAGAAAACCAGAATCTTTTATTATATTCAGTATTTGTCCAGATGTTTTAAAGGGAGTTTTATACTCATTTCAGTGTGTGTTTGCCCTGGTTTTGTTAAGGCAGTGTATTTTTGTGTGGTAAGAGTGGAGAGAACTCTGTCCCCATCCAGAACATTACGTATGTTCAAAGGGAAAAGTAAATCTAAACCACCAAGCTGTTACCTTTGAAAGCGATTAATGGAGTCTATTGTGTTTTAACCAAACATTTTAGTTTAAAGGATTTTATATTAAAGGCAATTCCCATACTCTGCAATTCAAAGATAATGTTCGGATCTGGTTTAAATAAAATAATAAAATCCAGAAAATCTACTGCAAGGCCTGGAACTCTCTGCACAGCAGGTTCCACAGCAGAGCAGGTTCAGATCGATGCCTTTACTTGTCAGTCTTAATTTGCTTTGGTCTTTTAGAAGGTAGAAGTATGCCATTACTGAACGCAAACCCTCCTCTTCATTAGATTAAGTAACGTTTTCATCCAGCTTTTTCAGAAGTACTAAATAAGTGAAGATTTCTATTCATTTTTAATTGTTTTGAAAAATATTGACTCTGTGCTCTGTGGTTCACTTAATATGCTTAATGTAAAATAAAGCTTATGCTTTGCATTTATGTTTCGTTTAGTGCTGTGCAAGCATCTGCAGAACATCAGAAAAGACTTCAACAGTTCTTGGAGTTCAAAGAATAGTTAAGTAACATAAACTGTGTTCATTACACTGCTGATACAAGTACAGATGGGACAGTAAATGTGCAGCATTCTTGGATCAGAAGAAAATGGACTAATTAGATGCTTCCTTTGTCCTGGTGGTTGCTTTGAAAACTATACTTTAATGGGAGAAATCATGGAAAGAAATTCTCAGCAGAATAACTGAAAACTGCCTTTTCTGTACCAAATGCTTTTTGTGTGTGTGGTATAATAAAATCTTTATTCAATTTTACATGAGCATCTATGGCAGTAGAAATGACTCTAGCTCATATAACTTAATAATAAGAACTCAGAAATTTTTAGAATTTACTTTTGAAAAGAGTACAGCCAGTTCAGAAGTGAAAATAGGTTGACTTGATGCAATCTTCCTAATCATTCCAAGAGTTTAGCTCTCTTTAAACTCAAAATACATAAACGTTTTTAGGTTAGTTTCTGTTTACTGAAGGACAAAAATGTTAACAGTGGAGAAAAAGTCACAGTAAAAATACTGTCTAAAGGACATATTTTGTTAATCTGTTAGGTTGTGTTTTTGTTTCCAGGGACAAATTAAATTTGCATGATTGTCCAAAAAAAGTCTCAATTTACAGATGCTAACTCTATATAAAGGAATGTGGAAAAATTCAGTTCTTAAGTTACAAGATTAAACATTCACATTTGATTTTTGAGAAGCAATTGACTGACATCTATGAATTTATTTTGTATCATGCTAGTAAACAATAAATGTATGGGTATTTCCCCAGCTAGCTTTGCTTGCTTTTTGGAACAAAACATTAAGTGATTGCAGAATTCTTCAAGTGAGAGGAAAGGTTTTGTAAGAAAAACCAGGAAGTTTTCCCTTTTTTCTCTATGTTCATCTTCATTAGATCAAATTTTCATGAAGCTTTGTCAGGCCTCACAAGGGGCCTCTGCTGTGTTAACTGGCTAATTAAAATATAATAGAAAAATCTTTACAGCCAGAAACAACTTAGTCATCAAGCAGCAAGTGAAACCAAAACATCAGGAGGATTACTGTACATGGGAATATGTTATATGTCCCAAATGTGAGCAAGGTAATTTTATAATTCATTAGATGTAATACTTTGGAGATGAAACATTGGAAATCCCAGTGGTAGGTATTCACTGGACTAGCTTTGGACTAAAATGTTCCTTTGTAATTCTTTTCCTATTATCTTTTCCCTCTAGTTTCCTTTTTTTTTTTTTTCCGGTATGGGGTTTGAACTCAGGGCCTACACCTTGATACGCTCCACTAGCCCTTTTTTGTGATGGGTTTTTTCAAGATAGAGTCTCACGAAGTATTTGCCCAGGCTAGCCTGGACCCGATCCAGGTGTGGCGCCTGGCCCCGAATTTTTCCTTTAAAGTCAGCACAATATTGTATATGAATCTTTAATGTGGCATATATGTCTACCATTTGTCTCCTTCATTGGTGTATTGTATCTTTATAGTAGAATATTTTAGCTCTAGGACCTATTGCCCCTTAAACCAGCACAGGCCACATTATAAATGAATCCTGCTGGTCTTTAAAGTGCCTTCATGGGACACTTCTCCAATTGTGAAGTGTTTGGGTATTTCAGCTTTTTTTCCTTCCCCTTTGTGTCTAAGGTTGAGTTGATCTCTTTTTCAAATGTGAAAGTTGAATATCAGAGAATTGTGGCTAGTTTAACTGAGAACAGTTGTATTTTATGTATTGAAGCTATAAGCGTGTGTGTGTGTGTGTGTGTGTGCGTGTGTGTGTGTGTGTGTGTGTGTGTGCGTGTTTTTTACTGGGGACTGAACCCAGGGCCTTATGCTTGCCAGGCAAATGCTCTACTTGAGCTGTGTCCATAGTCCTTTTATTTTTGAGATAGATCTTGCTCATTTTCCCTAGGCTGCCCTCAGACTTGAGATCCTCCTGCCTCTGCCTCCTGAGTAGTTGGAATTATACCACCATGCCCATCTTAAAGCCTTAGATTTTTATATTACCTGGCTGAAGCATTTTGGGAGATAAGGCCTCTTAATCGTCTGTTTCCATTAAAGAAAAATTGTGATTTTTAACCCATTGGATTTCTAAGATGGAAGTGGAATGATTCCTTTAAACTTGGACTTGTACAAATTGTCTGGTTGGATTTAGGTTCTTGACATTTCTTATGTACTTTGCACAAAGATACATTTGTTGAGCAATGTGAATGTTTCTGAAATGTTCATCCCTACTTCCTATCAAGAGATTGTGCTATATATGAAATAGAGGCCACATAATGTCTGCCTGTTGGAGATCCGGACACTGCCTCCCCGATCTGTATTATATTTAGTAGGTGTGTGTGGTGGGGGTCAGTTCTTTCCCCATTGTGTGTTGGTAAACCTCCATGGCAGCTGTTGGGGCAAGGGTGTTAGAAAGAAGACTAAGGGAGGTGAAGAGAGGAGAAGCGATTCCCTCATTGATGAAGTCACATCCTGCCTTCAAGCCCACCTATCTATGACATTAGCATGAAAATCAGAGAGTGTCTAGCCTTTCTCCTGCTGTCATATAAAACAAGATTTTTATAAGCTCCTGTAATGTTTGCTGATCCTTGTGGAAAATATAAAGCTACAAAACTACTTGCACAGAGAACTGGGAATCTGCCCTAGAATAAACCTATAACAGGTGAGTAGACCTGCATCAATACATCGATTCTTTGCTGGATTTTTTCCTTGGCAATTGTTCTGTATGTTTTCCTATGAATGTTTATGATAATCTGTTTATATCCTTTTGTATATTACTGGTTCTGAATTGGGCAGAAAAATAAATTGACAATTTTTAAAAAATGTGACTATTAATTATGTGTGTGTGTGTGCAAGGTCAATTACTTAATTTTTATTGTTTGTTTCTTTTCAACTTGGTCTCAGGGTTGTTACTTATAAAACCTGGAAATGTTTAACTTCTTGAGCAATCAGCTTTTGCCTTTAACCAGACTAATTTAATGGGTGATCTGTGTTCAGTGGTAACTAAGGAGCCTCAATTCTAAGTCTCTTTCTTTGTTACCTTGGCTGTCTTTCTTCCAAAGCTAAACAAAGGGTGCAGGTACTAAAAGCCATCTCTTAACAGAGGTTTCTTTTTTTGCCAAAATAGTGTTTTTAAACAGATTGTATTCCCCCAGGCTGACAATTATGTCTGCCAACTTTACTTTAATTAGTCTGAACTTCACGTTCAGGTCACTGAGTTACCAAAGCCCTCAGCTTCTTCTCTTGCTGTCCTAACCTATAGTCATCTCTAACATCAACAAGTTTAAAGCATAGATGACTTTCATTTATCAGTCAACAGTCTAGCTGTTACTAACAAGTTGCTGAACACCATTTAACTTTTCTAAAATTTAAAATTTTTTATTTATTAATTTTTTTGGTGGTACTGGGGTTTGAACTCAGGGCCTTATGCTTGCTTGCCAGGCAGGTGCTCTACCACTTGAGCTACTCCACCACCCCTGTTTTTTGTTTTCGAGATAGGGTCTCAAACTGTTTGCCTGGGCTAGTTCAAACTGAAATCCTCTTAGTCTCTGCCTCCCAAGTAATTAGGATTACAGGCATGAGCCACTGGTGCCTGGCCTATTTATTATTATTATTGTGCCAGAGATTGAACCCAGGGCCTTGCACATACTAGGCAAGTGCTCTACCACTGAGTTGGATTCCCAGCACTTTTAAATTATTTTTAAAATTTTTATTCATTGGCTGTGCACTTGGTACATGCCTGTCATCCCAGGTATGTGGGAAAATCACAGTCCAGGCTGGTCCAGACATATAGCAAGACCCTATCTCAAAAATTAAAATAAAATAATGCAAGAGGGCTAGCAGAAAGGGTCAAGAGGTACCAAGCCTGCCTAGGAAGCATGAGGCCCTGAGTTCAATCCTCAGTTAACCCCCCAACCCCTGTCCCAACAAATTTATTTACACAGGGACTTACTATGTAATCTAGTCTGGCCTTGAACTCATGATCTTCCTGCCTTTGCCTTCTGAATTCTGGAATTACAGGCGTGTACTACCACATCTAGCTTTCACCACCATTTTAAAATAAGCAAATTCTTTGTTTTTGAGGGACAAGAAAGGGGATAGACAAACACATCTGTAGTTCTTAGTCATGCTCTTAAGTGGCAGTTGGTGTAGTGAGGTGCAAGTTGATGTGGAGCTATCTAATCAAAAATATTTACTGACTGTCTATTGTGGCATGCTTATTAGAAATGAACTGAATAGGGCGGTCCCCACCCTTGAGTTTATAATCTTATGTGGTGCCATTTGGGTACGTTACCCCAGATAGGTTTCAGTGTGTGTGTGTGTTTTTAAGTACTTGTTCATTCCTTTTTTTTGACCTTACCATATTGAATTAAACTGATGACAAATCCACTTCCCCTTGTAGACATGAGCTCCATTCTTCCAGGATTTCAATTGCAATCGGTCTTTAGGAAATGTTTATCTATAATCTTGAAATCCAGAGGGCCCTTTGGTAAAATTTGTAACAGAGTTTATTTGGCAGTCAAGCCTGAGCTAACCTGATGTGAGGCTGTTATATGGACAATTTATTTTACGGAGTATGGTTATGCTTATATCTCATTGTAGAATGTTCGATTATTAGGTACTGGTCTGGACCCCACTGGGATGTAATGTAATATGCGTGATTGTTTCCTCTGTAAAATCTGAAAAGTTCTTTATTCTGAAACATCTGACTTAATGGGAATTGTAGACCTGGGTTTTGGGGGGTTTTTCCCTCTTTTTTTTTTTTGGCAGTTACTGGATTTTGAACTCAGGGCCTCACACTTGCTAAGCAGGCACTCTACCACTTGAGCCACTCCTCCACCCCTTTTTCCTTTACTTATTTCTCACATGTTTTGCCCAGGCTGACCTCAGATCTCAGTCCTCCTACCTATGGAGGTCCCCTGTCACTGGGACCATAGGTTTGTGCCACCGTACACAGCTTATTGGTTGAAATGGGATCTTTTTGCTAGGGCTGGACTTGAATCGTGATCCTTCCAATTTCCATGTCTCAAGTAACTGGGATTACAGGCTTGAACCACCATGCCTAAGCCATTTTTTTTAATAAGATGCTATTTGGCATTCACTCCCTGCCTGCTTCATACCAGGTCCTGTGTGTACCTCCTTTTATGTATTTCCGTACCTTGTCCTGAAAGTTCATTTTGTATGGGAGAAATAAGTAGAGGCAGTGTCTTTT